GCGCCTGGAGCCAACGGAGGGAGTGGGGGAGTGGAAGGCTGGAGCGCTCCCGCCAGTACAGACCCCTATTTTAGAACATCCTTCAGAGGGCCGCTCTGACCTCGGCTTGAACTCCTTCAGGGCTGGAGAGATCACTCCTTCTACCGCCGGGAGAGAGGAGGCAACGTGAATTCATTCCCAAGGCTCTGGTAGTCTGACAGCCGATGAACTCAGCCTGGAGTTCCTGAGGGCTCGCAGCCTGCAGCCTGGGCCCTAGGGACTTGATGTGTCTGTGTGCTTGTGCAGAACCTGTTTGATTTTCCCAGGGGAAGCCCTGCCTTCTCCTGCCACTGGGCGCTGGGAAAAGTGCTCCTTTCCTGCCTCCTCCGCCTTGCGACCTGTCACAAGGACTGTTACTGCCGCTGCTGTCCCCCCTCACCACCCCACCCTGACACACAGGTGGCAGCTGAGTATCTGGGGAGGGTGGGTGATTTGCGACCACTTCCTTACCTTCAGGAACACCCTAGGCTCAGCCCTACCACATTCCTGTGGGAGGGAGTCCCTGCTTCTCAACCCCTGGGTGGCCCAAGTTCACAGGTGGGTCGAGGGCTGCCTGAGAAGTTCTTGAAGGCCTGCTTTGGCCACAGGAAATTGGGAATTCAGCTTGCTGCCTGGTGGCCAGACCTACAGCTGTCCCACCACAGCATCCTACAGCATTGCACTGAGCAGAAAGCCACCCCTACACCCAGGTCTAAAATCCCATAGTGGAGTTTCTAAGCATTTAAGAACTTGGGATGCAAGAAACCAGCGCTGGCCAGCAGCTGGGCCAGTTCCTGTTGCCTTGATGACACTAGGTCAGGACACCTGGCCCTCTCAGCCTTCTGTCCAAATTCCTCACTGAGTACCCCAAGCTGGCTGTCCCCAGGAGGTGGGGGATGCAGGTGACTTCAGGATGACTACTCATGTTCAAAAACTTCTGTCCAGAAGCTTTTGGCCAGTGTATATAGCTGAGGAACCAGAAAGTGGCTGCAGCAGACAGAGGAGCCAAGCAGGAACCAGCCCAGAGTGAGGGGTAAGGCCAGCCCTCCCTAGACTTACAAGCAAGACACCTGGAGCAGCATGTCTGAGAAACCCCACTCAGGGCTCCAGAGGACCCCGGGCCCCAATCCTTGCTCTTTCTTGGAGGACCCTGCTATCTCTGACATCTTCTCAGGAGATCAGAGGGCAGTTAGGATCTTTCTGGGGTCTTAGATGACACTGTGACCTACTAAGTGCCTACTGTGTGCTGAGAACTGTGGAGCAGGGCGTCTTGGCCAGTAGTTTATGGCATTCAAGTTGTATACACAATAAGTTCATGCTGGGTCCTGATGCAAATTCAGGTCCTTGTTACCAGTCTCCTGCTGGCCCTAACCCAGCTACATCTGCGTCCATGGACTCTATGTGTGGCTCTGAACAACTGGCTTTCTCTCTCTGGGCCTTTGTTAGCTTGAGGGCAAGGCCAAATTGGCAGTGATAAGTCTTTCTGAGGCCTGTGTGACCTGAGTCCCCAGTCTCTGCCTCCGCTTCTCTGGTCCAGGAGGTCTGGGGCAAGGAAGAGATGAAAGTACCATCATATCCCAGCCCTGGGATGTGGCAGATGTACCTTGTGCTGCCAGAGCTGGCCATGCATCACCTGGATCCAGAGGCAGCTTCAGGAACCCCTATGGAAGCACAGGCTGCACGGTCCCAGCCTTTGGGTGCTGATACAGGGCCTGGCTTGCACCCACCTTCCCCTTGAACTGAAGCGCTATTCATTTCCCCTCCCTGGGAGCCATCATCAGAACAAAGAGGCTAGGGCAAGAGCAAGACCCAGGTCTCTGGAGGCTGGAAGTCACAGGGTCAGGTAGTGAGAGGCTTCTGGCCCCTGGGCACATAGATCTGTGCAGGGTGCAGTAGTGTGGCCATCTGGGAGGCACTTTGTGGACTGGGGTATGGGGACAGGTGCATGTCTCTCAAAGGACTGCCTCCTCTGTCCCCACTCTTACTCCTCACCCCCTGATGCAAGCCAGGAGACCTCTGAATCAGTCCTGGGGAGGTAGGAGGAAAGTGACGTGTGGAATGCTGTGTGCCCAGCACTGTGGAAACCTCTTTTTCCATCCATCGTCCATACCATAAGCCAGGTGTCACTGCAGCTGCAGGAAGATGATCAGAGGCTCCATCACCTGCTGGGTGGGTGACACCAGCACGGGGATCTGGGTCTGGCTGTTCCGGGGGCAGAAAGTAAAGTTTTTCCCTCATCTCATTGCCAGCTATGTTAGCAATGAGGTGGCCTGCACATACTTTGGAGTAAAGACCCTCACCCATCTGCCAGGAAAGTCAGGGGCCCTTCCCATGGCAGTAATGTGATGGAAAATGCATTTAGTCTTCACCCTTTGGTGGAGCAAGGAAGCACTGGGCCCTGCCCAGCTCTGAACTTGGGCCTCCTGGAGGTAGGTGGTTGAATACAGCAGAGAGGGGCTGTGTCCCTGCTTGCTGGGCTCCATTCTGCCTCTCTGCTCTGATCCAATTGACTGCCCCTCCCTTCTCTGCATCCAGCACTTGGCTTTCATGCTCCAGGACGCTTTTACTGGGCCAGTGTCTCCCTCTCCACCATGGAGCTCTGCTCTTCCTGCTCCTGGCTCCACATCCAGCTCAGCCCCCACCCCCACCCCACGGAGACACTGAGAGGAGACAGCCTGCTTCAGCACGGGGATACCTCAGTGCCCAGCCTGTCACACCTCACCTGCATATGGCATGAAGCACATCACACCTCCCTGTGCCTGTTTTGCCTTCTACCAAGTTCAAAAGTTCGGGTACCTAATGTGAACAGTGTGGAACTGCTTTATGCCATTTTGGCCTCTGATTGTCCTGTGAGCTTTTCACCCTTGGACTGATCTATAGTTCACTTTAGGGTTTGGGGTCACTGCTTTGGGGAGCACTCTCTTCAGTGGGGAAGGGGCAGGAAACTGAAAGGCGCAGGGGGAGCTGCCCAGGACTGGCAATGTCTAGGACTGAAGAGTCAACCCTAACCCTTGTTCACTTACCCTCTGCGCCACACAATAGCACTTTTACGGTTGACTGAACAGTTCTAAAGGGAGGTGGTGGCTTTCCCACAGCCATGCAGTTGGGCAGTGCCAGCATTGCCTGAAAGCCCCATGTCCTCATGCAGCACCCTTTTCTCTGCCCCTGGGAGCCATGCACAGAGCACCACAGCACAGCAGGCTGGGGCTGCAAGCAGAAGACAGCACCTCCTGCCCCTTGACCTTGCCCCAACCTGCAGGCTGCTGGTCTCAAGACTGGTGCTCCCTTGCCCTGACCTTGTCCTGTTGCCACAATGGGTGGCTTTGAGAATTGCTAGCTAGCATTCTGTTCACATTCCTTCCTGCCTCAGGAGGCAGACACCTGTCCAGGAGCCTGTCCTGGTGTTGTGTCCAGGGTGCAGCTAATCGTGCAATAACTTGTAAAGTTCTTAGCACGTGCCAGGCCCTGAGTAGCTCCACCATTTGAGTTCCTCTGATTCTCCTATGAGTTGTGGGTTAGTATTGACTACTCCATTTTACAGCTAAGGAAACTGAGGCATGAGGAGTTTCACTTGCCCAGTGCGATACCTCAGTGTAGGCTGCTGGCTACAGAATGGCCCACAGCTCCATCCTGTCATCAGTACAGCACCTGAGGGGCTGGCAGACGGTCAGTCGTGGTAGAAGGTACAGAGGCACATGATGGTAGATGCTCAGGCCCCCAGGAAAGACTGTCCCCGTCAAGTGCCACTGTAAGAGCAGGGAAGAAGTGTGTGGGGCGACCAGATCTTGTAGAGGCTGTGGGGAAACAGACCAGAGTGGGGCATGGACCTGCCCATGGTCTCAGGCCAAGAGTGGGGCTGAAACCAGAGCTCCCAGCCTGATGTGCCTTCCTGTACCTTGTAGCCAGTTGTGGGGCCCCTGTGACTGCTTTTTCAAGGACATGCGGTCCCAGACGCCTCCATGATGCTGAGCTGTTCAATGAGTGACTTGCTCCCCGTCCCTGTTAAAATAGAAAAGAGAGAGAAGAAAGAAATCCAGGCATTGTTCCCAACTACAGCTGGTGCCAACGAAAACCTCGAGGAAGAGAATGGAGCAGGAGCCTGCTGCCCAGGGGCCTGGCTGCTGACACAGGCCCTTTCTATTCTGTTGTCCACCCTAGCCCCTCTGTGGACACCCTCCACCTGGCCTCTGTGCCCTGTCTCCCGCTACCCTCACCAACTTTGGTAAATCCAGGTCCCACGGCCACCCCGCCGTGCTTTCCTTCCTCACCCACCCATTGCCTGGGGTGAGCTGGGTTCCTTCCCTGCCAGCCTAGTGCCCACCCTACCAAGCGAGGGAGGGTACAGTGCCTGTCTGGGGAAGTTGCATAGGTGCCTTCTCTATGGAGTCATAGAGGAGACCCTGCTTTGCTTCCGAGATGGACCTAGGAGGATGGTCCACCCCATGCCAGGTGCCAGCCTTTCACTCACACATGAGGGCCATCGCAGTGGGATCTGTGGTCATGATGTACAGCTCTACAGAGGTGAAAGTACAGTACTTTAAATTTAGTCACCCAGAAGCGAAAGCGGTTTAAGAGTTGCCCAGTTTGTTCTCTGCCTCTGGTCTTAGAAGAAAAGGGTTCCTCAGAGTCTTCTGTGCCACCTTTTGGTTGTTTATTTTTGGTTTTTTGAGACAGCAGGTCACTTTGTAGTTTTGACCTTGAACTTACTATGTAGCCCAGCCTGGACTCGAACTCTTAGTGATCCTCCTGCGTCAGCCTCCTGAGTGCTGGGATTACAGGCCTGTGCCACCATGCCTGGCTCCCATGCCAACTTATTGCATCCTGTCCTCTGGGAACTCTGTCTACCCATGGACCTCAGCTCCACAAGCCATGAGCTGGTCTGATGTGGATTTCTCCAAACAGCCCTGAGGGAGCCACATCCTGCCCGCTGGCTAGTGTCCACCAGGAACCCTTGAGTCAGGCTGACCACAGGACACAGCTTTCTAAGCTCTCTCTCCTCTCATGGGCACAGCACTTTAGACACTAAAAGTGCTTTATGCCCCATGTGAATGCCACAGCAGCCTTGGGAGGATGCACATTTGCAGATTGCACAGCTCACTTTGGGCTTCAAAAGGCCTGGCAGTCTGGCTAAGGTCATGTGGGCACTGGGCAGGGTTGTCATTTGAACCCTGGTCTCTTGATTCCATGTCACTAGGCAGGAATGGGAACACAGGTGGCAATGACCTCAGAACATGGTATTACCAGCCCCAGTATGCTACCAGAAGACAAAATCTCAGAGACATTGATTCAATCAACAAGTATTTCTTAAACACTAGCTGTGTGCTGGCCACAAACCTCAGCACTGGGTGTCCAGCTGTGAAGAAGCAGATTTGGTTCATGCTGCCTCGCACCTGTGTTAGGTGTTGGAGACAGACACTGAAACAGACTTTGTGCTGAAAGACCTCCCACCAGGTACCCAGTGTCCAGTCCATATGCTCTGACAAAGCCCAGGGCTGAGGGGCTGGAGATAGGCGCTCTGGTCCCAGTGTTGCCCCTCACTGGCTGTATGACATTGGCAAGGTTTCCCATCTGTGAAACCTGCAAGCCAGTGGCTCCTCACATGTTTTCTGAGGTTCCTGCCCAACTTCTGGGGCAAGTGGTTAATGATTTCCTGGCATGAATAATTACCCTGATTTGGTGTTTTCTGAAACCAAACTTTTAGTAGGCACTTGGAACCGGAAAGAGGCTTCTGAGTCCCCTGACCTGAGCCCCTCACTAATCAGGAATGAATGCCTTAGCCTCAGTGCTCCTGGGAAGGGATGGGCATTGCTGTGCACTTCCGGAGATGGGGCTCTCACTGCTTCCACACACCGCAGAGCTCCCTGCGCAGTGACGTGCTGGTAAATGATTAACATCTGGCTCTCCAAAGGGGGGGGCTGACTTGTAGTATTTGCTGATGGCCATCGTGTAAATACTCCCACCACAGCCCCATTTCAAGCAGCTAGTCTAACATCAACCTGCTCACACTTCCTGAAAAATTGAGTCAGCTCTTAGGAGCTGGTCGAAGCAGGCTACAACCCACCAATGCTCCGGCCCAGAGAAGTCTCATCCAGCTTTACTTGCTGGAAAGTTCTTGCTGGTAACGAGCACGACACCTGATTGGCCAGGCACTCGGGTCTGTAGGGATTCTGACCTCTGAAGGCCTTCAGAGATCTCCTTGTAATGGGAGATGATCCTGGGGGCAGTGAACACTGGGGAGACCCACCTTCCTCTGCCTTTCAGCCACATTTTCTCTTCTGCTTCTCTCCTAAGTATTTGTTGGCTTCTGTGACCCTATAGGTACTATGGCAACAGGGACCAAATCTCAGCTCCCAGCCTACTCCCTCCCTACCTGCATCGTCCAGGAGGCTGGAATCAGAAGCCACCCCTCCCCAAGCCTGACCTGACCTGTACCACTTCCCTTCCTGCAGCTGCAGGCCCCCCCTCCTCTAGCTTATCACTCGCTTTGGCACTTATCACTTTCTACCTTGGATTACAGCTATTTGTGTACATGCCTTATCTCCCTGCCAGACAGAGAGGCAGCGCTGGCTTGTTGAAAGAGCTTGGACTTTGGAGCCGAATGACCTGGCCCCAGCATCCCAGCCCTGCAGGCACTCAAGCAGCTCATACCAACTTTGCAAGCCTCAGTTTCCTTTATCTGTGAAGTGGTACTGCTGATAACTCCTTCCAAGGTAATTTTGGCCATTAAATGTGTAAACTCCCTTTCCTGTTCCTCTCCTTTTGGGGACAGATTGCCTCTTTGTAGTTTTCTGTAAGCACCATAGCAATGTTAATAGTGACAAAAGTATATGGCCATGCTGTGCAGGGAGTACTGTTCTCAGTAGGCTATCCCATTTCACCCTCGCAAAAATTCAAGCTATTATTTCCATTGATAAATGACAATGTGGAAGAGCTGAGGTTCGAAGCCAGGAAAACCGGCTCCAGGGCCTTGGGTGTTGGGCTCCATGTGGTGTGGCCATGCTATCAGGGTGCGTGGTGGCTTGTGGCGTGATAGAGGGGCTGGGGAGATGCATGAAACTCCTGTTCTGCCCTCTAGGACCTCCCCAAAGGAGAAGTGAGTTGTACTGAAGAGCACAGTGTCTCCAGGTCCCGGGGGAGGCAGGGGACAGAGAGACCATTTATGGGAAGAGGTGGCATTTGGAGTGGGCCTTGGCAAATGAGGATTTGGAGCAGGGCAGACAGAGCACACAGATTATCTTAGTTTGAGCCAAGATATTGAGGTGGGCAGGGCACTCAGGGGCCGTGAGGGTGTCAGGCCAGCTGCGCACAGTCACACCCTCTGGTGGGAGGCACAGAGCAGAGGCTGGGCCTAGGGGCGGGGCTTGCTGGTTACACAGTCTGTGACCCAGGAACGGCTGGGTTGAGGGAACCAGTTCAGGGGCTTTGGGAAGCCAGTGTAGACCCAGAAAGGCTGAGAGCTGGTTAGGTTGTTCTGGGGCCAGATTGTTCTCTGGCCTCTCCCTAAGCTACTCTGAGATTTCCTAGTCTTAGGCTCCTGAATTCAGCTCTGTAGGTCACACCCCTCCATTCGTCTGAGCCTTGGTTTCCTTTTCCGCAGATCTGGCGTGAGGATGAAACTGACTCTGAGAGGTTTGTGGGGCAGGAGGTGGGGCGGTGGGTGCTCCATGTGGCGGGTGTAGGAGGAACCTCAGTTTCCTCATCTGAGATGTACTCGCAGTGAGGTTCAAGGCAGCCCTGGGCACATGCGGAGGGCTCTGGCCAGTGAGTGCCAAACTGGCCCTGGTGACTTCTGGCATCACAGGCTGTTTTTTCCCAGTACTGCCCAGGTCGGGTCCCCAATTCTGCCTTCTGCTCTGGGCCTAACCCTGGACCTCCTTTCAGCACAGCTGTGTCCTTGGAGAGCCCTGTTCATGTGCCAGTATTGCTATGACTCCTCCCACACGCATCAACATACCTCACCCCTAGACATCCATGTGTCCAGTGCCTGAAGTCTCACACACACACACACACACACACACACACACACGCGCGCGCGCGCGCACGCACACGCACACGCTCATGTTTCTGTGTATCCAAAATGACACTGCATGGGCTGTAGCCTCCCAGTGTACCACCATAGCCTAGTGCCCAGGATCCAGCCTCTGCAGATGCCACACCAGCCTGGCGGTCTCCAGCCTTAGTCATTTGAGCCAGTGGCTTCACAAGCCCTGCATGGTGGCTCCGATGTTTCCAGCAGGCCCCACCAAATCATTGCACCCACCCTGCCCCCTAGGAGGGTAAGAACTGGGCCTCAAGTTTGTGGCTGGGGTTTAGGGATGGAAGGTGACCCTTCCCCCAACCTAGGTAAGCTCCCTAGGCTTTGAAGGGACAGCAGGAAGGGGAGAGTGAATTAATCCGGGACCTCTCTACCCCTTCAGGCTCACTATGATGCTAATTTCCTCTGCCTTTGATCCACAATCCCCTAGCCCGGCCCCTAACTCTGAGCTCAGCCCACACAGAGCATGGTCTGAGATTAGGGCTACCCTGGATGAGGGCCCGGGGCAGATCCCTGCATGCAGAAGATTGGGGTTTTGTCCCTGGGGAGGGGTCTGGGGATTATAGCCCTGGTTACTGACTGGGCATTCTCTCTCCTCTCCCTTACCCTCCCGTTTCCTGGGGGGCTCTGTTTCCCAATCTGTGGAGCCCAGTGAGATCCCAGGAAGGGACTCCAGAACCTCTGTCCAGGGCTAGTGGAGCCAGGCCTCAGGCTCAGATTTTAGAGCCTTCAGATCTGCCCTGTTTCCACAGAGAGTGTCTGTTCTGTGATTCTTTTCTTTTCTTTCTTTCTTTTTGTTTTTTTTCTTTAAGGTGTTTTGTTTTTTGAGACAGCGTCTCTCTGTGTAGTTTAAGGTTGGTCTTGAACTCACTGTGTAGACCAGACTCACCTTGAACTAGTCACAATCCTCCCACCTCAGCCTCAAGAGCACTGGGATTATAGGTGTGCACCACCATGCCCTGTTTGTTCGGCATTTTTTTGTTTTTTAAAATCAGTTTACTGAGGACTTAGTATGCCAAGGGCTGCCCAGATGTGTATGGCCTCCTACACTCTTCACAGTGCCTGCTGAATCCTGCTTTACAGGTGAGCAAACCATCCCTTGCTACTGTGTGGTAATGATGGAGACTGACCAAACCCTGGACAGAAGCTGACCAGAATCCCTTGCTGTACAGAGGGGAGACTGAAACCCAGACAGAGGAAGGGACAAAATCAAAGCCAGATAGACAGTTGGCTGGCATCCATCCCCTCCTTCCCTGTCTACAGCCAGCTGTGTTCTCAGAAAGACTGGAATCCTTTGTGGACCCCACGGCATTGGCGCAAGAGTCCAGGGCTCCCCTTTGCCACAGAGCAGGGGACTGGACATCTGTGAAAACCCCAACTTCCGGTAATCATGGAGGCATCTATGCCAGCCTCACCTTGGAACAGCCTGTAAACTTGGGCATAAACACAATTAAAATTTTTACTACATTATATTTCATACATATAAAAGACTATTTGTGAGCTATGAAACACATCACAAAAGTTCATGACTGCTCTGCTTCAGAACTGGATTATTATGGACACCAGGGGAGATCTACTGCCCCAGCCCCTACTTCCTGCAGGGAACCACTACCCCAATTTTGTTAACTGCTCTCTTCCTCTTTTTAATAACAGTTTTAGCACAGGTGTGGGCATCCTTTTGAGACCTTGCATCTCCTGTATTCCCAGAAATGCCTTTTCTGAAAGGACAGAGGGAGATTGCGAGGATCAATCTGCACCCCACCCCAAGTGCCCTTTCCCTGCAGTGCCACTCAGTACCCAGCTTGGCCTCCTCAGTCAAGTGACTGCTGTGAAACCAGACACTTCTTCCTGGCACAGCCAGCAGGAGCAGAGCAGCTGGACCTTCCCTGAGCAAGGCAGGTGACCAAGTGTTTGCATAAGCCGGTGTGGCCACCTGGGGGCCCTTCCCATCTGGGCTGCTCCAGAACTCACCCTTTCCAGCAGTAACCTCAAACATTCATTTCAGGGGGTCTTTCCCTGTTGGATCTGCCACAGTAATTGGGTGTCCTTCTCTCAGCCCTTGTCCTAGGGCAGTGGCCAGTACAATCCCAAGTGCAGCTGAGCTTTGGACCCATAGCTGGTGTTCCCAGAGGGCCAGGACAGAATCCTATCCTGGGCAATCCTGTGTTTGCCTTTACCCATTTGCTGGGTTGATGAGTGAATGCAAGCCACTTGTGTAGGTTGTTCAGTGCAAGTGTCTGTCGTGGGTGTGACTGCAGGAGCGCACACATCCGTACACACGCTCACCCTCACCAGTGTATGGCACAGCCCCACAGCCACCTGTCTGTGCAGTGTGCAGGGTCACTTCTCTTCTCTATTTTTGGCTCTCCATCCTAGAGAGGTTTGTTTTCTCCATGGAAATCACACAGTGCACTCTTTTGGGGTACCTGCTGAGTGCAGGGCTTGGAAGGTTAGGGTAGATCACTGTGGGGCACCCTTCCACCCCATCTTCCTGTCCCAGAGTCTCTGCACCCAGTTACCCCTGCCCCCACATCCCAGAAGAGGACCCTGAGGTCCCGAGGCCAGACAGGCAGCTGTGGAGCCAGCAGTGGGGATGGGACAGTGTGTTAGTTACTTTTCTCTTGTTGTTGAGACAAAATACCTGACACCCAAAGTTAAAAGGGGGAAAGGTTAATTTGGCTTAAAGTTCATAGAGGTTTCAGTCCAGAGTCGGCTGGCTCCAAGGCAGAGTGGCAGAAGGGCAACAGTTCATGGAGGCAGAAGACAGCAAAAGCAACATGAGGACCTTAACAGTGTCTTTCTGCCCTTTTTATCCCATCCAGACAACCGGGATTAGGGCAGTGCCAAACCAATCACCCACATGTAGTGGTTTAGTAATCACACGTCCTTAATCCCAGCATCACACATTCCAGATTCAGCCACCTCCAAAAAAGACTGCATGAAGCTTTGGGGGGACATCTAGACACGCCACAATAGATGTGAGGCTAGCAGCTCTGAGGAGCCCCAAATCCTCTCCTGGGGCCTCTTTCTTTAGAATTCACCTGGAGGACATTCCCTTGGGCACCTGTAGGAGGGCTCCACAGCTGCAGGGAGCAGTGGGGATCCAGGGTAGATGGGATCTGAGTGGGGCTGTACAGTGTGGGATAGCACCACCAAACCTCTGACCCAGGGAACACCGGGCACACACACGCTTGCATGCCCTCAGGGGACATGGGAGCAGCCTAGGAATCCAAGGTCAAAGCAGATCCTCAGCCACCCAGCCTCACTTTCCTCTGTTACTCAAGCTGCCCCAAACAAGTCCTATGGCTGCCGGCCTCCTGTCCCTCCAACCCCCCAAACAGATCGGGACCTGGCGTCTGAGGGAGATGAACTTAGGTGTGACCAGGAGCTCCCTCCTCAGCCACTCTCACCTGTCCTTTGGGTGACAGTGATGTGGGTTATTATGCAGCATGAATACAGAGGCAGCAGATCCCCGTCTATCTGCCCAGCACCCGGACACCACCCAGAAGGCCAATGAGGCTTCTTCTGAATGTGCTGGCTATGTGGCCTGGTAAGTGTGAGCTCTGACAGTGGACAGAACCTAGGAGTCTCGCTCCAGCTTTGGACTGTGGACAGGTCACTTTGCCTAGGTGAAGAGTCCCTAACGTATACAGAGAAGACGGACAATCTCCTTTATGATGCTGGAGGCAGGGACACTGGCTCAGGCCAGGACCAGAAGCAGCAGTTGGGGCGGTCAGTGCTTAGTGCTCATTCTGCTAAGTGTCACACCTGGCTAAGCCCTGTGGTGTCTTGGCCTCCAGTTGGGCTGAAGGCTACATGTCCCGCATAGAAGGGAGAACTGTGTTTGGGACCCTCTCCTGAGCTTCGGGTCACCTCCCCACCACCCCAAGTTGCCGGACTGCTTCCCTCTGGAGTCTGGGGCTGCTGTGAAGCTGGGGAATTGGCACTGGAGGGGCAGAGGCGGCCTAGTTCAAAGCGTCTCTCCTGGCCCTTAATTGCCCTTCTACACCCATAGGTGGACTTGCCACTGAAAGAGCTAAAGAAGAGGCGCTCATGCTGCTGCTAGGGACTGGGTTTCCCTGCTGTCTTTGTGAGGCAGCCGACAGCTCCACGGTGGCAGCCAGCTCGGGTTTCTGATTTTAATGATTTCCTGAATTCATTCCATTTCCTACCTCAGGGAAAGGAGGAGAGGTGATCCTCTTGGAAATTCACATAATTGCTTTTATTTGATTTTTATTAAAATGCATTCAGGAATAATGTGATTGCCCCCTTTATTACGTTGTTCATCAATCTGGCATGGGAATCAGCTAAGAAAAACGCGGTGGGTGCAGGAGCCTGGCATGTTGGCGGGGGAGCGGGCACCCTGTGGTGGGCTCAGGGGCTCCTTTGCCCTGGGGGAGCCACAGCCTGAGGCTGAGCCCCCTGCTGCTCCTGTCTGGGGAGCTGGGGACACCGTGGGCTCATTCGTGATGCCTCCTACCCCCAGCCTAGCTCAGCTCCCCTCTGTTCTTCCTCTGCTCAGCACTTATGGGATCCATGGCCGTCTGGCCTCCCAGCCTCTCCCAGCCTCTCCCCTGCCCCGGTTGGCGCCCCATTGCCTGCACTTGGACGACTTCACTGTCTTCAAGCTCAAGGCCCTCAGCCTGCTTTCCCAGGATCCGCCTGATCATGCCACTCCCCTTCTCAGAAACCTCCATGGCTCCCAGAGGCCCCTTCCCTGCCTGGTATTTTACTTAAATTCTGGACTTCTACTCAATTGGATGTGGGCTTTGCTCCAGCTTACCTGGTGGGACCCTGGGCAAGTCACTCTGTCTTTCCCTCCCTCAGTTTGTTGATGACAGCAATGGGGACATGGAGTTCAACAGGGTCAGAGGGAGAAGTGTGCCCAGATGTGAGCGTATGGCCCTGCCTGGACCAGGCCGCGGGGGCTGAGTGGGGGCAGGTCTGGCCCTGGCCACTGCGGAGGCCACGGCGACAGGGACACTTCTGCCCTCATTCCTCGCAGCCCAGCCCTGCCCTTCCCCAGAGGTTTCACCCACTAAGATTGGCAGTTCCTAGAAGAGGGGTACAAACGTGTTCACTGGACTTCCTGGAAACTCCAAGGGTGGGCTGGGGAGCCCTTGGCGCTGGTGCTTTGAAGGGGTGCTATTTAGCAGATGGGCTTAGCCAGAAGCCCCTGTACCCTCAGTGTGGATGGGCCTCATGCACATCAAGGCAGGCCCTGTGACCCTGGTTACCTGTTCTAGGGTAGTCTGGCCACGAAGGGGGCTGCCCGGGAAGTCGAGGAGCACGGGGAAGTCACCCACCTGCAGAACCTCTCTGGGGGCTTTAAAAATTTGCTTTTGAGTACTACATGTTTACATAATGAATTCATTCATTGTGGGGAGTTGGTACACATACATAACGCATCTTAGTCCTTTCTATTTTCCTTGCCTGTCTTCCTCCATCCCTAGATCCCCTTCCCCTCTATAAAAAGTCTACCTCTATGTTTTCTATCATCTTTTATTTTGCTCTTTACATTATTTGTAATTTGGGTTTCTCACATAAAAGAAACGATGTGATAGTTAACCTTCTGTGCCTGATTTATTTTGCTTAGTGTTATGGTCTAGGCATCCATTTTCCTACAATTGGAAACAGTGCATTGAGCACTTCAGCTCTGGGGTCCTCGAAGGCCACCTGGGGCTCTTCAGTGTGGCCCAGACCTCGGAACAGGGAGTGATGGGCTCCACGCCACCTTCTGGCCTCCTAGCCTTGCCTGTGCTGCTCTTCATGTTGTAGCAGCATTCTCGCTCTTCTCCGTTAACCAGACTCAAATCCTCTGTCTCTGCTCTGGACTTGTGTCTGTTCTTCCTTTGAGTCTCCACGTCCAGAGCCATTGCTTCTCAGAGTAACCCAGAGCAGGCAGCCCGGAACCAGCCTGTCCCCAAAGGGTGGGTCTTGGAGCCTGGCCCTGGAGCCCCAGGCACCTCTGACTCCAGCTTTGGGACCTCATGATATCTGTTCCCAGCCACTGAGCGGCACCCTTATCAGATCTCGGTTTCTCTCCTCATAGCTGCCACCTCAGCCTGTCTCTGCCCCGCCCCCACTTCGGGCCTTTTCTCTCTGAAGCGATGTTCCTTTTCCTGTCACCAGCAAGCAAGTGCCGTGAACAGGAAAGTTTGTCTCCGATGCTTTAAGAAAGCTTCCTTCTGGGGAGGGGTGCAGGGCTGTGTACTGGGCCTGCAAAGCCCCGTGGGGTGTGGGCGGCAGCTGGGGCTGTGGAGGATTTGGGGCCGCTGGAGGCTGCTCCTCTGCAAAGGTACAGGGTTGTGCACAGCTGTAGTTTGGTGTCACAGGATTCATTCACAGCCCTGGGGAAACCTGTGAGGTTGGGGCCTTTCCTGGCCATTTCCCACAGCAGGCAGCTGGAGCCCAGCCAAGGAGCTGAGGGCAGAGTTTATAGATTTGTAATCAGGTCTCTGTCCCTTCAGAGACCGCCACCTACCTCCTTCCTCCTTGCCTGCTGTTCTCCCTATGTGCACCGGCTGGGCTCTCCCCAGCCAAGCCAGTAGCTCTATGGGCTGGATTAGAACTCTAAATCCTCATGCTGTGTGGCCATAGGCACGTCACTTGGGCTCTCTGATGGCTTAGCTATCAAATGAGAAACTTAGAGAAATCCACAAGACTCGGTGGACTCTATTAAGCTATGAGGCAGGGGTTTGGGACCCCTGTGCGTTTTAACAAGTGCCTTAGGAAGTGTCAGTTGTTGGCTAGGCTTAGAAAGAAGCAGGCTGAAGTGACAGGGAGCTGTTGAAGGTGGGGAAGGAGAGAGTGGCATGGTTGAGACCGTGCTCCAAAGGCTCTGTGGGCAGCAGAGTGGAGGACTGAAGGTGAGAGGTGGAGGCTTAGAGGTTACCCAGTGGGACTCTGAGGCCCCTTATTGAAAAAAAAAAAGAGGACCTTCCCATCGGGAGCAAGAATCACAGAGGCCAAGCCTCCCACACCAGGCTCAGAACAGAGTCCCGGCCGTGGCCTCCTCCAGCGCTGGGATTGTTTGCAAATACACAGCAAGGTATCTTTGGGAGGGGACCCAAATCTAAATGCCAGCTTCAAATTTCCTGAACACCTTATGCACCTAGTCTTATGCAGTATTCTTTATAATTCTGTGTGCGAAACAGAAGTGTGTGGTGGGGCATTTCTGCTTGTGATGTCACGTTGGCACTTGCGTAGTTTCAGATTCTGGAACATTCTGGATTTTGAATTTTCAGATTCAGGATGCCCAGTGTAAGCCAGCCATGTCGCTGGTGGTGGGGCTTTGTGGTTCCCTCCTCTGAGGCTGTCACAGAAACTGCCTTGAACCCGGGGCTCCCTCTTCATGTGAGGTAGGACAGGATGCCCCCAGGGCATGGGATCTGGGCATGCAGAAGGGGAAGCAGCACCCCAGGAGACCGCAAGGACCTCAGCCGGGGCCAGCACAGACTGGACAGTGATGTCCAGGCCCTGCTTCCTGGGCACTGGGGAGTCTCAGCCTCCCTAACAGAGCTGGGAATAGAAGCTCCACTGTGACAGAGAGGGCAGGTGGCCAGAAGCCAGTTTCTTATTTATTCATCTATTTATTTATTGAGCCAGGGTCTCTCTAGTTCAAGCTGGCCTTAAACTCACTAGGTAGCCCAGGCTGGCCT